TCCGACGAAACAGTTTGTCACAGCCCCTCGTTTGTTGTCCTCTTCTCCCTCTCTGCCTACGGTTTACCGGGCAGTTCTATTTGACGATATATATAGTCACAAAGTTATCAGAGCACAAAAGCGAAAAAAAAACAAAAGGAAACGAAAAAGATATCAATTCATTTTTTATCTTCTTCCTTACAAGACTCCGCCTGTTCAAAACCTCTTGCCTACAAGGCCGCCCAAGTGGATGTGGTTGAGCGGCGGCTGCCCCCACCCCCGTGTGTCATATCGACCCACTTACACACAGCCAAAAGCCAAAGAGGCAAAGAAAAGAGGAAGGGAACAGCCAAATATAACAAAACAGGGGGCAACAAGGTCCTGGGTGACAAACCCCACATGTAAGCACCGCCCCCAACTTCATAAACAACGCGACAAGACCAACCAGGATATCCAAACATTCTTGCCTGCAAAAAAAGAAATCCCAAATACCTATCTATATACAGCAGATAGCCTTGTTCATCATCAAGATGTTGGTATTCCCATTCCTAAACCACTCATGCTCTCATAATAGGCCGAACAACGAAAAAAATGGTCCCACATGAAAGCACCGCTACGCTCGCCAAAATAGACCGAACAACGAGACAAAACCAACCGGGATGCAGACAAGGGTGCCAAAAAACAAACATAACAGATCCTAGATGACAAGTCCCACATGCAAGCACCGCCCCCTACATCACAGGCCAAACGACGGGACAATGACCAACCAGGATAGCAATCAACACCCTTGCCTGCCAAAAAAACCTATATAAAGACAATCCCAGATGACGATTCCCGTCTGCTAAGGAAACGTGAATGCAGATTGCTTTCTGCAAAATATTGTCCGCCGCTTCACCTCAGACACATTCGTCCCCGGTTCGTTTTGGGAAAAATGAAAAAGCCGAAATGACGCGAGCAAGGGATCGGAGATGGGCTTGGGCGAAGGGGACTGTAATAGACAGCCCACCGGGGGCATGGCTGCAGGCCAGGGCGCGAACGAGAAATGCAGCAATGTGTGTGTGAGGACTACCTTTTGTCTGAGGAGTGCATCCTCGTCAGTCCGCTCCTTCCATGTGCTCTTTCTCAGCTTGATCGGCCTATTTCCAACGTATTTTCCTGCAGCATACCCGCATATAAATTACTACACGGCCACACATGACATGCCATCAATCAATATGACGACTGCCTGTCAGAACAACTGAAAAAGCAGGAATACATAATTATTATATACGTATTATTACGTATATATCATCAATATATATATCGTCAAATAGAACTGCCCGGTAAACCGTAGGCAGAGAGGGAGAAGAGGACAACAAACGAGGGGCTGTGACAAACTGTTTCGTCGGA